ACCGCCAAGGGGTACCATCTCCCTCAGACATGCTCGACAACCGCGCGTCATCGAACATATGACGTGGTGGAGGAGTAGGAACGACGAAGACATAAGAGGAATGCTGTCTAGCAACCCTCTCTCCTAAGTACGCGATCGCTCCATAAGTCCCCAAGAAATAGCGACGCTCAGCAGAATACTGTGCGGCTAACCCAGGGACTGTCGAACCGCCCCACGGCCGGTACACCACCTCAGGCCCCTACAAAGAACATCAATCAGGCGAGAATATACCTAAAGCATCACGGAAAAGCAAATAAACAATAAAAGTCGTACCGCGATGATCCAGTTCCGGACGTGTGTAGTAGACATATCCACATGGTGGCCGCCCCAAGAGGCGCTCACTAGAAATCCCTGCGGCAATGGTCTCGCCGGCGCAGCAGAAGGGAAGTACTCGTAGAACCAGATCTACAAGGAGTTAAAATTGTGAGTAAATGCTAGCTAAAGTGTAGAGCTAAACTTTATAGGGAATAATGTTCACCTCTACGACCTTCCAAAAGGCAAACAAAGCAACGTTCGTCCCAAAGGACCGGTGTCGACACGAGTCCCTCAGCGCACGAACAAAGTCAGCATAGGCCAAGCTGGCCCAGTCATAAGTCCCGATCCGGTGAAGATCACGGACAACAGGAAGATAGTAGAGCAACGCCCTACTACCTTTGTTAGGAGAGTACGTCCCTGACAACAACATCGGCGCAAAGATGTGCACCCGCTGTTCTCGGGTGGTCGCATCGTCATCAAGAGTCGCTGCCAGCGTCGAGCGGCGAATCCCCCTAACGCTAAACTGAGTCGTCTCAACCTCAACGCGGGCCTGAATAGCGATCGGCCTCAACAACTCCTCGACCTCCGAAGAAAAGACGTCGATCCCACTGTCGAACGACAGTGGCATAGAGCTGAACTCCGGTCCTGTAATGAGACTAAAGTCCGTAGGGGTGACCATCATCTCGCCCCAAAGGAAATTGAAAGTGTTGGTGGTGCCAAGAAAAACTCCACCAAAGCGCGCACTACATGGTGACCCCCGCTGGAGGCAACCATAGACTTAGAGGTCTCGAACAGAGTAGCTAGTCCGCTAGACTCCCATAGGAGTCTCGTCTCAAGATCTCTGGCGATGTACACCTTGTACAAATCGCCCAAACCATCACAGCCGGAACCATGATGCCGCGTCCTCCCGACCGTGATGCCCCGTCTCACCCTCTCAGAAATGTGGTGGACGGGGGAAAAGAACAGGGTCCGCTCATCCCACTCCGGAAGTCGACCAAGCGAAGTGGAAGGCGTGACGTCATCCTCTACGGGCTCATGCTCCCGTCTGGTGTTTCGGGACCGTGAACCCAAACCTCGATGTCTAGCCATGCTACATTGTGAAAAATCAGCATAAATTAAGGTTCTATAGTATCTAAGGTTCGCCTAGCCACATGATACTATGTTCGCAAAAAAACAGATACGTAGTACTAAAACAGAGCACAAATTCAAATTGAGCATAATGGCATTTTTCAAGCAATCAAACAATTTCTTGCAACACTATAGTAATTATTGTGACAAATTGGACAAGAATTGCTAGCAAAAACATCAAGAACAAGTCACATTGTTCTTCACGACCTTAGGAGGTCCAACAATGGAAAATTGCTCATTTCTTCACCAAATTGAGTCAAACAAGTCTCAAATTACTCCCAAGGCAATATATAAACATAATCAAGCAATTTCATGGCATAAAACTTGACAAACAAAGCAAATTGAGCATTATAAATTTTGAATTTTCATGAAATTCGTGAATAAACATGCCAAAAATTCATAAAAACCAATGTGAGTTTGAAGCAAACTTACATAGATCGGGAAAATAGATGAAAATAGATTTGATTTGCAACAAATTTGAGCAAATTTGGCTGAGAAACGAGCAAGAACCGAGCAATTGAAGTTTTCGGATTTTTTCGAGCAATTTCGCGACTAGCAGCCATCAAAATGAAGAGGCAAGGGGTATTTAAGGAAATCCCCATGCTGGCGCCAAGCCCTATGAATTGGCGTCAAAAATGAGTGGCGTTGATGGCTTTTCAGTGGCGCCAGAGCACCCATCCACTTGAAGGGGTTGTTCTACCTTTCTGCAACATACTTTTGGGTTCCTTGGTACGCCAGTTAGCCCCACTAAGCAATTTGACATGATTTAGTAATCGGATGGATTACCTAAAGTGATCGACCTGATGAAAGATCGTCTCACTTAGTTTAAAGCGCCTAAGCATTGGCTCACTAACAAAAAGCACCGACATATAGGTTCAAAAGCAAAAGGGCACCGACATACAGGTTCAAAGCGACAGAAGCGCCAACGTACAGGCAAAGTGGAAGAAAATTTCAGGAGAACTTTTAAAGATCGACAGCCGTGGGTCTTCGATAATTTCCTTTGGAAAATTATCGTATCAAATGAGGATTACTTCAAGTGAGGATATCTTCGACGACATTCCCTAACTTGCGGAGAGTTGTCACAAATAACTGGAGGTAATTTCGGGCGAAGTTGTCTTCCATCATGTTCCCTTAGGCATGGAAGATGGTCTTAATGCGGATGAAGATTGTTTTAAGAGAAATAATCTTCGATAGTATTCCCTTGGACGTGGAATACTATCAATGCGGATGGAGATTGTTTCGAGAGAAATAATCTTCGATGGTATTCCCTTGGACGTGGAATATTATCATAGCGGAGGAGGATCAATTCAAGCGAAGCAGTCTTCTATATTGGAAGCAGTGACGGGCGTAGCAGTTTTCAAGCGGGATGGCATTCTCTAGCTTGTAGGAGGTCATCAAAACAATAGTAAAGCGGCAGCAAGTCGGTTACTTTCAGATACATGTGCTCGACGGTGCAAGATACGCGTTTCTTAACTCTTTTATCTGTTAAACTTACGTTAGATTGCAGGTATCGGCGTTACAAGATTGATTTAGGATCGCAGAACGTTCTGAATCATTCTTCGTCCCTATCGCTACTTTGAATTATGTTTTTGAAACTTGCGTTTCTCCAAACTCAAATAAAGTGGGGGCTTCTGTAGACACCCATTTGTGTCTCCCCAAAACCAAACCCGGTTATGAGTACCTTTCACGTCGAATCATAATCGAATGAAGTGAAAGTGTGGAAAATCTAGCGTTGCAGATAGTTTTAATTTCTTTTCTCTTCTCTCTGTTTTTGAAAACTTATTTTAAGAAAACAGTCAATCCAGTTTGATTGGTCCATGATATGGGTCCATTAATAGTGTAGTTGGATGGGGGCTTGACAAGAGTTTTCCAGCAACATAGTATAAGCCCAATTCCAATGAATATTGAGGAAGTTATGGTCAATTTACCAAACTAGGCCCGATTTGAGCCTTATATGCGGCCCAATGATCTAGAGGAGGGCCTAATATGATTTATCATTCCTAATTCAATTAGCATTGATAAATTGACTTATGACTTTTCAGAGTTTTAATTAAAATCAAATAGCATTTTCGAGGAAATTATATGATTTTATCCTCCAGTACGGCAAACTTATCTGATTTTCAAAAACGCGTTAAAACCAGGCTTGGCGCCTGACGCCAGGCATTGGCGCCTGGAACCACGCCTGGCGCTAGCCATTGGCGCTTGGCGCCAGTGTTGGTGCCTAGCGCCAGCTAGCCAGGGTTTGCGCCAACTCTGTTTTTTGTGCGTCAGACTCTGTTTTGTTTATTTTATCTTTTTGGCTTATTTTCTCTATAAATATCGTATTAAAAACTCCGTTTTCATTCACCTACAATCAATTTTCATTCACAATCATTAATTCTCTAATTCTCTTTTAATCATTCACCAACTCTCATCAAGATTTTCTTGATTATTTTCTCTCTCTCTCTCTCTCTTTTTCTAAATTAGTTTTTTACATACAAAATTCCGCATTCGCAAGATCTAGAAACACCTAGCCATATTCGAAGTTGCCTTCGCCCTAGACGTGAAAGGTTTAATTTCTAAGGGTTTGGTCCCAAATCTCTATTTCAATTATTTAATTTGATTGTTTAGATTATTATTTTCCTTGAAGTTACTAATGTGTGTACTTTGTTATTAGAAAGAGGTACGAGGCATCAAAGTAAGTGCTTTAATGATTTTAATTGATGTTATGATGTTGAAATCATGTTTATATTGTTATTATGATATTCCTAGTATCATGTCTAAGGTAACTTTAATATCAAATATATTAAATATGATTGTTACGATGCTTCCTATGTTCTTCCTAATATTTATGATTGATAGTATCATGTTAGGGCTAAAGATTTGATTTTAATTGCTTAGTGACAAGCTAGGGTTTGTTATTAATCTTGTTAGTATCATGCCTAGGATCTTGCTATGTTTATTATGCTTAATATTAATATGAGCATGATTAATATGATTATAATTTTATGATGATTATTTTATTTATGATGATATTATTATTATTATTATTATTATTTATTATGTTGCTTGATGCGTTATTTATTGCTTGATCACACCTTTTATGCATGTTAAAGGGAATTTGTACTTGTAATCACGCTTAATAAGATAATTAATAATCTTATTTAGGGTTAATGTGATTATAATTCAAGTGATCACCAATAATATTTTATTTGTGCATTAATATTCAACCAACATAGATTAACAGGTTTAGGGTTAATCCTATTGATTGCATGTTAGTCAAAAAGCGCACATGAATACGATCAGAATAAAGTAGAGGCCTATTATTAGGGCAGGTTCAATCTCTTTTAGGTTGGATTTGTACCTTCATCCCTGAACCCTTATTTGGTTCTAGACCTTATGGAGTTGACGATCTCTTGGATCCTTAAGGGGTGTAACCTTCATCCTATGAACGGTTTACAAGTTCCTAAAACTTGTTGGCGACTCTTTTTCTCTATCTTCTTCCCTTTTGGACGCCACCGTACTTTTGTGTATGATCGCAGTGGGGTTCAAGCTAGTGGGATTAAGGCTTGAAATTTATTCCCTACAGTGCTATTTACCGGTGAGTTGCAATTATTTCTTTTTTGTCACAAGCTGTGCAATTATAGATGGTTCCGAGCGGAAGCTGTGTTCGCTTTCCACAATAAGAACACCCTATATATGTTCTAAGCCTGTCATACTGAATATCAGATGCAACAACTCTTAGCCAATATATTTCCTGTGGAAGTGTTGTGGTTGCCTACATTGAGAATATAAAATTATGTTAGAGCTATTAGATTAGTACTGCTAGTGAGCAAAGAATTATTAATGGAATAGCACAAAAATTTACCTTTTTAGCCTTGATGCGATTTATTGTAGTTAAAATTCTTCCGGCAAACGGATTCCAGGAAGCTGTAACTCTATTTTGCTGATCCGTCATAACAGTTCGATGTTTTCTTGCCCTATAACACAAGAATTGTATTTTCATTAGTTAGTAGCATGTAAAATATGCAATGTCTGGCATTATTTAAAGATAAGTGGCAAATGCCATACCATTCAGTTAGTGCAGCTGCTTTTTCACCTTCAGGGTCTTGGACTATTATAGTAGAAATGGTTGATTCAAGCAGGAACCCTATGTGTAAAAGATATTAGGAGATATATATAAACTTATTGATAAACAGTGAAACAAATCAAGATAGGCAGATGCTTATTAGGCTGTGTTATTTGTTACCTTTGCGAGAGACAGAACACAGAGCTGTAATACCAATGACTTTGAAATTGTCACCATCAGAAAAAAGAGTTTCACATTGGCTTCCTGATAGGTCATTCAAGGCGCATACTTTTACTGGTTGATCAGTGCTAAAAGCAAATCAGAAGTGTAAATATTAAAGTAGAACTACTATAGGTATTGTGTTGCCATGATGGAATTAAATTTGCTGAAAGCAGAAGTAAAGTCACCTACGGTTTATCACTATTAGGTCGCGCACAAAAGATTCTTTGTTCATAGTTGTGACAAATTTTCTTGGTTTTCTTTCAATGTACAACACAATGACAAGGATATCTAAAATGGAAAAGAAAACGGAGATAAGTTATTTAATGAGGTAAGTTGGTAATGTATAATCATAGGTCTAAAATATGAAGAGGAATTGCTTTGCTACCATGTCGAGTATCATTAAGGGAAACTTTAGGAATAGAAGCAAGGGACTGATATCTAGGAAAGACTTGCTCTCCTTTGGGATCCAAGGATTGGATGAGAGTCCTGCTGCCTACTGTCATCTCAAATGGGAGATCTGTTTCCCTAGCCCTATATTGGAGATTCATTGGTCTTATTAAGGCATTAGCAATATCATAGTTCCCTCTGAACAAGATGACATCTTTGTATGCATCAATCTGATCAACAAATAATGTCATCTTCATTCGATTCTTTTACAAAAGGGAAAAAAATTTTGCATTATGATATAATTTTGTATCACGCTATGTCTTAAATTAAGGGTTGTTTATAAAATGACATGTATAGATAATTAAGGGCTGTTTATAATTTTGTATCACGCTATGTCTTAAATTAAGGGCTAGTAGATGATTTTTTTCTCAGATCCCTGCTTTCGACCTTGTTCTGCAATGTTGACCTTTAGCTTGTATGATTTACTCGATGTATCGAGTTCATCAAGAAATTTTGGTTGAGGTGCCATAACAAGACTCTATATATGTAGGCGTCGTTCGAAGTGTGCCTACGTAAAAAGCATGTTGTGAATATGCTTGGCACTCATAGGAAGTTGGAATTGACATAATACGATAAGGGACACGATTTGGGACAAGGAAAGTAGGGAGCCGCCAACAAGTTTTAAGGAACTTGTAAACCGTTCACGGATCATAAATGGCAACCACGATAAGGGACAGCAAAAGGTAACAAAGATTGACCCGTGAAGGTTACACCCCATTCATAATCCATGAGATTACTAACTCCATATGGTTCGGAACCACAAAAGGAGGATCAGGGATAATGGTACAAAGTGAGTCATGGAGTCACATTCGCCCGTATTGGGCTCTACTCGATTCTTATAGTGAAAAGCGTACCTGTGATCTCAAAGGCATACAAACAAAGATTCAATTTTCTCCAAACTATTATTATGCTAAATTGGTTGAATATTAATGCAACACATAATTCTAAAATATTTGTGATCACTTAAATTAACAACAAGATTAAAAAGGAACCTAAGATGGTTGTCCAAATTATAATAAAACAACGATTAAATTAAATTAAATAACGTAGAGTTGATTTGGGGCCAAACCCTCAAACAGTTCTACCTTTCACGCCTTGGCTTAAGGACAGAACCACGAGTAAAGTATGGACTCTTTTGAGCACTTGAAGAAGGAATTTTTAAATAATAAGGGTAGGCTAGTGTTTAGGCTAAAGCATAGAAGAGAGAAAAATAAACTTAGAGAATTAATTGATGCCCCGTACATCAGAAATGAGGGGGTATTTATAAAGAAATGTGCTGAGGGAGCACACGGAACCCTAAAATGATAAAAACCCTAAAAAAGTATCACGCGACACGGAAAACTGTACCGTGACACGGGAAATTCCACCTTCAGACGGGAAATATTCCCGTGAGACGGTGCATTTTTAGTGTGACGCGGGAAATTTTCAGTAAACGGGGAAGAAAACGCGTTAATGGTTTACGCGGAAAACAAACAGAAATTCCCGTTTCACGGCAGATTTTCCGTGTCACGGGAAATCCCACCGTCAGACGGGAAGGATTCCCGTGACACGGTGGGAACATGCCGTGGTGCGGGAATTCCCAGCCCATTTTTCCGTCCAAATACATTTTTAACCCTAATTTCGTTCAGCATTTTAAGTGCCGATTGATAACTTCGGGCCTTTTTCTGATTTATTATTATTTGGACTAAAAATAAAGAAATATTTAAATAAAAGGTTTGGGCCAAAAATAAATAATAAAACAATAAAAAAAGGTTTGGGCTAAAATTAAATAATAAGTTTGGGCTGAAATTAAAACTATGCTTTTACCAAACATCAAGACTAATCCATGGACTGTTCAAATATATGAATTTAATCAAATACGATTTTTTAAGCACTCTCGAGATTAAATACTGAACCCGACCAATAGTGGCGTTGAAAGGTTGTTCATCATCGGGTTTGGTTTTGGGGAGACATTTTTAGGTGTCTACAGAAGCCCCCACTTTGATTGAGTTTGTAGAAACGTCACTTTCGAAAATGATAGTCAAAGTAGTCGATAGGGACGGAGAATGATTTAAGATGTTCAGCGATCCTAAATCACTTTGTATACGCCGATACCTGCAGAAAAATGTTAATTCCACAGATAAAAAAAGTAAAATTATAGAATACGTATCTAGCACCAGTGTATCGGTGACAAACGAATTTGGCAGCTTCCTATGCTTGAAGGAATCTACCGGATGACATTTGTTGAAACGCTTTCCATGCTTGAGGAAAGCCAATCGAGGAGTTTGGTAGTTTTCTAAGCCTGAAGAAAGCTACTGGATGATACTTTCCATGCCTAAGGAAAGTCGACATATGAATTTGGTGTCATTCTATGCTTGAAGAAATCCACCGACGATACTTTCCATGCTTGAGGAAAGCCGACAAAGGAATTTGGCGGTTTTCTATACTTGAAGAAAAATCCACCGATAACGCTTTCCATGCTTGAGGAAATCCGACTTGATGAATACTTTCCATGCTTGAGGAAAGTCGATAGATAAAAACTTTCCATGCTTGAGCAAAGTCAATGAATGAATACTTTCCACACCTAAGGAAAGTCGATGAACGATATAATCGCTGACTTCTTCGTGGCGAGAGGTGACAACGACCGACAATTTTCCATGCTTGAGGAAAAATTTGTCTATTGAAATTACAAGTCTCTGTGTATCAAGAACCTTGGAAAAATTTGTCTATTGAAATTACAAGTCTCTGTGTATCAAGAACCTTGCGCTGGAATAATAGTGGTTCGATTGTCCCCGAACTTGGGCTGCAGATGATTCACACCTTCAAGTCGATTGTCAGACCTTATTAGGTGTTTAAAATGTCGAAAAATAGACTATGATGCTTGCTAGGGGTAAAATAGTAATTTTAGTCCCCATTAAGTATCAGTTAGAATTTTCTGCGTAATTCCAGCGAAAAAAATAACTGCCCAAAAACCTCGAAAAATCATTCAAACTGGTCAAAAAGCCAGGAATATTCGCTGACAACGCGCAGAACCACCGTGCCACATGGACATATCTCGCGACACGGTAGTATTTTACCGTCTAACGGGAGTATTTCCCGTGTCGCGGGAATTTTTGGAACAAAAAATTTCCACGCGCTTCTTTTCACGCGCTTGTACACTGTTGCTTCGTAACGGAAAATGTGGAACAGTAACGGGGTCATGCAACGATTACTTTTGGCTTTAAATATCAACCATTTCACCCATTTTGCTCATCCACCATTTCTCTTTCTTGTCCGGTTTTCACCCCAAAAAAAAATTTATTTTTGCTCGGATTCCCGTGTCTCGGCGGCTTCTCAACGGTGCTCAGAGTTTTCTCCCGTCAGCCGAAATCACCTCCCGTGTCACGGCGGTTCTGCGCTTTTCTTCCTTTTTCAAAAAAAAAAAAAAAATCGCTATTGCTTGCTACTTGCTGCTCACTGCAGTGTTGCTGTTTGCTATTAATCGAAGCTCCGGCGTCCCCTGTGCTTACCGTGACACGGGATTTATCCTCGTGTCGCGGCATTGCCTGACCGTGTCGCGGCGGCTACTCTTATCTTCACGGTTTTTTTGAGCTTTTGGTGCTCAAATCTTCACCAATTCCGCTCTAATTTTTTGCCACTTTCCTCTCTATGTAAGTTTCCCTTGATTTTGCCTTGAAGTTGCTTCAAATGAGTAATTTCATGAAAAACCCTTAAAAATCAATTTGGGGATTTTTTTTTGATTTTGTGGTTTATGTTGAAATTCTTCCTATGAATTTACTTGTATATGTATGCGTGTTTGTGAGCGATTTGAGACAAAAATTGCATGATTTGGTGAAGAATTGAGCAAAATCACCATTTTTCATACTACTTGTGGTAAATGGTATTCCTTGTTGTTCATGTTGTTCTTTTGCACTTGGATTGATGATGTGTTGGTTGTAGATCTAGTAAAATATGCTATAATGCGTCGATCTATTGTTTTTGTGCAACTTTGAGACATGTTTTATATTGCTTATGTACTACATTGTCATGGAGAACATAGTATCATGCAATTAGGAGAACATAGTATTAGTTTGTCATGGAGAAACTAAATATTATAAATAATTCCATTATTTTGCCAATTTTTAGCCTTGAGGTAAAAATTTAGCATATAATGCGATAAATAACTAAATAACTTAGGAAGTGACGCTAAGCATTTAGATTTTTTATCAAAATGCAACTCGAACCAAATGTCTTAGGAAATGATGCTAAGCATTTAGATTTTTATTTTTATAATAGCATGCCTAGGCGACGGGATCGCGATCTTTCCACCCATGGCCAGCATCAGGCTTTTCGGAGGACACTCCCACTATTCCCGAGGGTATGGACGACGATGTCTTGGAGTCCGAGCCTCGGGCTTCTACGAGTAGAGGTAGGTGGGTTCCACCTTTGTGAACTCCAGACCAGTTGGTTTTCTGTCGTGAGAACCACGTTTCTCATCGCCCACTTGCCGACATAATTGACGGCACGCTTCGCCACCACGGTTCTAGAGCCGGAGATTTGATTCCTAGACTTCACCAGATTATCACGAGGGATCCTGCTACGAACGCCTTATGGGAATCGGCTGGTTTGGTGGATTTTTATTCGGCGGTCGTAGGGTTTTGCAGCCCCCGGGGTTGCGGTGCGACGGTTATTCGCGCATTGTTGGAGTATTTTTGGGATACTACCAACACCTTTCATTTTGCTTGGGGGGAGATGACAGTGACCCCCCTGGACTTTAGCATGATTAGCGGGATGCGCTTCACTGACCGGGTTGTAGCTCAGATGTCTGATCTTTCTTGGGGAGCGGCATGAGGCAGCCGATTTGTTAGGTCCGATCGTTCAGCATATCAGGACCCGACCAGTGTCTGGAGGTGGTCCTAGGAGCGGGCGATCGGAGCTGGCTTCAGTTCTAGCTCGTGGCTTCGACATGGAGGAGACATCGGCTGAGTAGCGAGTGCGGATCTTCATTCTGATTCTGATCTCAATGACTCTTTCTCCTGATAGGAGTTCACGCGCACTCCTTTACTACCTCCCTTCTTTAGTCGGGATCAGTGAGATAGGATCCTTTAGCTTGACCTGTCTTGGATACGCCGACCTTCTCTTGTCGTTACGTCATGGCTGTCGGCAGCTGAACGACGAGTCTCCCATCACTGTCTACGGTCTGTGGAGAGTCGTAGAGGTGATGATCCTTTCC